GGCGGTGGTGTATAGTGATCGTTGGATGTTTCTTGTGTTTGCTCATTATAGCACTTTTAGATACTGTTTTAATATGTAAGAAAAGACTAAAGCTGACTACAATTAGTTTTTTCAAAGCAAAACTCAGTGACACCACATGGGGTAAACCAGGCACCATTGATGTCACTTGGGAGCCAGGAGATGGTCCTTAACCTTGTGTAAGCTTGGGCCGCAACTTACACATTGAACCTCTGCAGATGTCAGGCAGAGGAGTGAGCAAAGGGTGGCAAGTATGTGCAGATTACCATGGTACCCAAAGTTTGACCCATGCTGGCTCAGTTTCTGGCACTACTGGGTGGCACAAACAAAGTGTTCTGTATAGTTCCAGTGTCGGCAGAGTCAGTAGCCTACAAGCCAAGCAGCTTCTTGGGTGCTGTACATAGCTACCGGAAAACATCACCGCAATACTCCTTAGAAGAGCCCTCAGTCCTGTTGCAAGCAGTGGGCTGGCTCTTGGGCAGAGTTATGCAAATATCAAAAAGCCTTCATGGGTGGATGTCAGTCTGGAGGAGTGGGTTTCCTATGCAGATTCTATTTGGATGCAGAGCTCCCTAGGTAATGCACACATATGACTATTATTGATCATGGGGGGGGGGGTATATTTTTACTGCAAGGTTTGCCGACATCATTGCCCTAGGCAGGCACTTGCATAAGCTTAAGACCATTCACTCCAATTCAATACAATTGTTTCCATTTTTATTAAATAGCAATTACTTTTAAAGAAAAGAATAAACATTGTAACAAATGTCCGCAAAACATAAAATACTTCTTCATCTTGGAATGAAAAATAATCTTTGGTGAGTCTGGCTTCACATTCTCAGACCTTCTCGGGCTACCCTGTAGGAGGTGTCCTTCTATATACAGGGGGTGGTGGTGGGGGAGAGTTGTAGAAATAAGCAGAGATCATGTGATCGCACCCTCGGCGTTCAGACGCAGTATTTCCAGAAACATTCGGACAGGTTCCCCGCGCGCTTCTTGTATTGCTTGCGGTCTTTTGGTTGCAGGCGGCTGAGCAGAGATATTCGAGGGTGCTTGTCGAACAGCTCCTAAAAGGCGGGAAATATGAAAGATCAGCTCTGATCAATTATAAGCGGTTAATGGGCTGCTGATGTCTGAAATGCGTCAGCCGGACAGATAGTTTGGTTCATCTGAATTGGAATGACCCTGTAATGGGATAAAATGTGGGGAATTGTACATCTATTGAAGAGATATAGTGTGCGTGTGTGTGTGTGTGTAAATATAAAATTGAGCAAGACGTATTAGTCCAGTAGACAAAATGTCAAAAAACTAAATCGGAGTATTGCAGTATGCAATGATACCTTTCTTATTGGACTAACATATTATTCAAAAGACAAACTTTGGAGAGTTAACCTCTCGCCTTCAGGTCTGAAGCAATACTAACCAATGTGACCGAGTTTTACCATGTAAACTTTCCCTCTTAACTTTCTCTTGCTTTAAGTGGTAAAACTCGGTCACATTGGTTAGTATTGCTTCAGACCTGAAGGCGAGAGGTTAACTCTCCAAAGTTTGTCTTTTGAATAATATGTTAGTCCAATAAGAAAGGTATCATTGCATACTGCAATACTCCGATTTCGTTTTTTTTATCTCTCTTCTCTCTCTCTTCCCCTTCTCTCTCTCTCCCTCTCTTCCCCTTCTCTCTCTCTCTCCTCCTCTTCCCCTACTCTCTCCCTCTCTTCCCCTTCTCTCTCTCTCTCCTCCTCTTCCCCTACTCTCTCCCTCTCTTCCCCTTCTCTCTCTCTCTCCTCCTCTTCCCCTACTCTCTCCCTCTCTTCCCCTTCTCTCTCTCTCTCCTCCTCTTCCCCTACTCTCTCCCTCTCTTCCCCTTCTCTCTCTCTCTCCTCCTCTTCCCCTACTCTCTCCCTCTCTTCCCCTTCTCTCTCTCTCTCCTCCTCTTCCCCTACTCTCTCCCTCTCTTCCCCTTCTCTCTCTCTCTCCTCCTCTTCCCCTACTCTCTCCCTCTCTTCCCCTTCTCTCTCTCCTCCCCCTCTTCCCCTTCTCTCTGTCTCCCCCTCTTCCTCTTCTCTCTGTCTCCCCCTCTTCCCCTTCTCTCTGTCTCCCCCTCTTCTCTCTCTCCTCCCCCTCTTCACCTTCTCTCTCTCTCTCCCCCTCTTCCCCTTCTCTCTCTCTCTCCCCCTCTTCCCCCTCTCTCTCCCCCTCTTCCCCTTCTCTCTCTCTCTCTTCCCCCTCTTCACCTTCTCTCTCTCTCTTCCCCCTCTTCACCTTCTCTCTCTCTCTCTCTCTCTCTCCCTTCTCTGTATTCTCTCAGTGGGAATGCTGCTTCCTGCTCTCACACTGCAGTGGCCTGTGACTACAGAGCTGATTGGCAGCCACACCCCTCATCACACAGACTTGTATTGCAGAGAAGAGGGCGTGTCTGACCAGGTCTGGGTGGGTTCAGAGCACTGCATCCTATTCCAATGCCTATTAACCTGTAGAGACATATTTAGACTTCACACACAGCTGATGTAATAGGAAAGGGGAGGTAAGACTATGAGAATGGAGCTTCTTAGTTCCATGTCTGTCTTGACTTCCTGTCCATTTATGTGACCTCAGTTGGGCTTTAGGTCATCTACGGGGAATCCATTTCTGGTTAGTGCTGAAAGGGCTGTTTAGTTGTCACTCACCTCTTTGATGCTGTCATCCATGTTATAGGCATCCAGACTGAATCCTAAAGACAGAAGAGGAGATGTAATCCTACTGATCATCTTAAAGGAGAACAACAAGTAATACACAATATACAACAACAGACGTACAGTAAGAATAGATACATAAATTGCATTGTTAGATGTTTTGGTTCAGTCAAGGCCTGCGTACGATTCCACAGGTTCTCCATAATGTGTTCTCTAAAGCTCATCACATTGTACATTTAGATTGTAACAAATCTCCCTAAAGCTCACCACACACGTTACAATATGATTGTACAATCTCCTTTAAATCTACCAACCACTACATAGTGCAATGGTCTGCCTGGTTGGATACAGATTGATTGGATAGTTTTGGTTGGACATCATATTACATAGGGATGCACCAATAATGTTTTTTTTCGGTATCGAGTACCGATATTTTGCTTTTGATATTCACCGATACTGAGTACCGGTGCCTCTGCTAGCATGGAGTCCCCTTCGCGGCCAATCAGGAAGCCGGGCGCCAGTTAATGACATGCCGCCTGGGTTCCTGATTGCCTGGGAAGCCGTCTCCATGCTGTTTGGCCGGCTTCCCAGCCAATCAGCAGGAAGTCAGGAGGCGGGTCATTACTCACCGCCCAGCTTCCTGACTGCACAGGAAGTTGGCTTGATGCTCCCCTACAGCACTGCCGATCAGAGGAAGTTCCGGTATCGGGGAAGGTATAGGACCATTTGGGCGAGTACGAGTACTCGCCAAAATACTCGGTATTGGCACTGATACTAGTATCGGTATCAGTGCATCCCTAAAATTACATAGTTTTGGTAAATCTCGAGTTGATTGTACAAAGATTATATGGTAAGGTGTATGGTGACCCCTCATAGCAGGTCATACACCATACAATCAGATTGTGCAGGGATTATACAATCTCCTTTTAGATTTGTCAAAATGTTTTAATATAAGGAACCATTCCTTATATAAACCATTACATTTGTATCCAATCCCTCCTGAGCCTCTGTGATTGACAGAACTGAACTCCAATGAATGAAAGTGGCAAGTCAGGGATAGTCAGGCTCCGGGCTAGCTGATGCTGGACATCCTTCAGCCAGGAAATGAGGCGGGCTCTATCTGACTTGCTGCAGCTTCTAATGCACATTATGAGAAGCTCACAGTGTGCAGTGAAATCAGAATCCAGTAGAGGAGCCGCTACAGCTGTGCAAGACTGGAAGGTCAGACTAAGGCCTTATTCACACGAGAAACGGCCGGCACGTACAGCTCCGTGCTGCGTGCACGGCCGTATCGTGCACCTCTGGGGAAGAACAGGTGCTGCGTGTGATTAGTATGCAGCCCCCGTCCTTCTCTATGGGACTATGCGGCCATACGCCGCCCTACACGTCCATGCGGGTGTCCGTACTCATACGCTGACGGGATGGATCCTGTCTGCGTCCGAGCGGGGACACCCGCACCTGTACGGACCTGCACTTGGGGTGAGCGTAGGGGGGGGCCGCGTACTCCCATATAGAAGCATGGGGGCTGCGTACTAATCACACGCAGCACCTGTCCTTCCCGGGAGCTGCCCGATACGGCCGTGCACGGAGCTGTACGTGCCGGCCGTTTCTCGTGTGAATGAGCCTTTAAATGTATCCATAGACTTCTCTTTAATCTTTATATATTGCATTTGACAACCTTCCAGTGATGTGATCCAACAACTCCCGGCCCGGAATCTGTATGTCCGCACTCACCTTCCTTGCTGAAAATATCGTCAGTGTCTCTCTCTTCCTCTCTGTCTAGAAACATGGGAAGATTCTGCAGTAGATGCGAGTCCTCCCAGCTCTTCAAATCCCCGAAATCCATCGCTGACTCTGAGAGAGGAAATAACAGTGAATGTGTAGAGATTAGACGGGTAACTCATCAGTGTTACAATGTATCCATTGTTTTTTGTTTAGCTTTGGATAGACCACTGTCAAGTCATTAATGCTGTCTGCGTCCCTTCTGGGTAGATGTACCCTCTATTTGTTCTGGTGACCACTGACACCAAGATAGAAAGTGATAAGATATCCAATGTTTTACAGTTGTCACCAGGACAAGAGGCGAGGGGAAGACAAGTGTTCTGGCTACAGCTATCTACGAGGGGAATCCCCCAGCTTTAGAGGGATTCCTCTCACTTCCTGTTGGGTCTCTAGGACAAGAAGTGAAGGCAAATCTGCCTGTAGGGACATGGAGAGCAAACAGTATAGAGAACATATGGTTTTCTTTGTGCCTCGATGCTGTGGAGATGCGAGTTATGTTAAAATGTCATGGCAATGAAATGCGCAGCAACTGAAGGAAAGATTTTAAAAAATTGGTTGAATTATTTTGATTTTTTTCAGGGACCTGTCAGGTAGCCATCTTTGATGGGAAGTTGTGGTGTTGAGGAGAGCAAGGTGCATCTGGAGGTAGTGCTTTTTATTTTACACAAAGTTGTGTGAGCAAGCCGAGCAGCATTGGGGGCTGGATGAGCAGCACCATAAAGATGACAAAGATGAGAAGGCTGGCGGCTCTTATTTGGTCACAGATTGTAGAAGAGGTCTGTCCGGAGGAAAACGTAATGAAACACTCTGCAACGGATGACGAGTGAATGCCTTTGCGTGGAAATGCATGGGAACACGGATGCATTTTTGATAGGTTGCAGTGACATTTAATATGCAGTACGGTGTGAAAGGGCCATGAATGATCAGAGAGAGAAAAGTACTGGAAATTGTTGTGGATTTTTCCAACAGCAATCAGGAGAGGATGAGTGGTCAGTTCATCTTTTGGGGTCATTATTGCTCTGAACGTATTGAAGCTGCCAATGTAGGATCACAGTCCTCTGGTACCTACGGCTGTAAGCTATGTTTAATATCCTATCTATCTATCTATCTATCTATCTATCTATCTATCTATCTATCTATCTATCTATCTATCTATCTATCTATCTATCTATCCATCCATCCATCCATCCATCCATCCATCCAATCTGTGTGTGTATACATGGTGAAAGAGCAATGGGAATTGTCAGGACTAGGTGTATCCATGCACAATCTCAATCAATAACTCTATTTAACCACTTCAAGACCAGGTGTTTAGACCCCCTTCCTGGCCAGGCCATTTTTCAGTGTTCAGCGCTGCGATACTTTGACTGACGTTTATTCCGTCATGCAACGCTGTACTGAAATGAATTTTATACCATTTTTTGGGGACAGATAGGGCTTTATTTTGGTGGTATTTAATCACCACTGGGGTTTTTATTTTTTATTATAATTAGGAAAAATTACAGAAAATTTTGAAAAAAAAAAAGTATCTTCTTTGTGTATCACTCGGCTGTAGATCCTCCAATCATCTCTGAATTGGTGCTGACACTGTCCTTCCTTCTGGAGGGTGGCTACTTTTGTTCCCCATGTTCCCTGTGTGTGTTGTAAAGTAGTCACCGCTCCAAGCTCACTCCCAGGATGGACTACAATCTCACGTTTAGTTTACTAATTTGTACTGAGATTGTAGTCCATCATGGAAGCCAGCTTGGAGCGGTGACTACTTTACAACACACACAGGGACCATGGGGAACAAAAGTAGCCCCCCTCCAGAAGGAAGGACAGCGTCAGCACCAATTCAGAGATTCCTGTGCTCTTGGAAATTTGTGTGTTCTACATATTACAACATTTTACATATTGTGGAAGAAATAAACCATGCAGGAGGGAACTCTGCAAAGGGATGGTGGGAACCCTTCATAATGAGCACAGCAGATGTACAGACCCAGGAACTCAGCACAGGGATGGTGGGAGCCCCTCATAACGTTCACAGCAGGTGTACAAGACAGTTCTGCCTACAGCCACCAATCAGATCACTGCTTGCCTTGACACATGTTATGGATTATTGGAATTGGGTGATACCAGTTCCTTGCTCTGCCAATTTGACACCTGAGCCTCTGTGCATCTGGCAGGGCAACAAACAATTCCCAATTATTCCCACAGCACACAGTATATAGTTCAAGAGCCTGCGCCTCTGGCAGGGCAACAAACAATTCCCGATTATTCCCACAGCACACAGTATATAGTTCAAGAGCCTACGAAAAGAAGTGAACAAATCTTAACAAAGTGTATATTTTTCTGCCCTCTTTAGATTTGCCGGCAGGTGGGCTTCCCGAGCAAAATGCACCGCGACTAATATATTGTAACAGATGCATTAAGATGACAATGTCATATGAAGTTTGAAGGTGACATAAGCGGAAGGGGGTGCGATATGGCAGACCCCCCGACAATATGCGGCGCCCTCCTCCCGTAACATTTACATAAAAGTCATGGCGCGTTATTAATAGGATTTAATATTAGAAACAATTTATTCTCTCTCTTTAAGGGAACACAATGTCATTTCCGATCGTGCTGCTAATGGATGTCTTTAATGAGCGCGCTCTCAATTTTCTTTTCCTCTATCCCTGAACTTCCGCATTAAAAATCCATTTGACCCACTTTGTAATCGCTCACTTACGCCGCGTTTGGGAAATTAAGTCTTTTTTTACGTTAACCTTGAAGCCGGAAAGAGTTTACTCTATGAAGGAGAAGACTTAAAAAAAAAAAAATGTTACATTAATTCTTACCTGACAGGCGGAGGGAGCCCTTGCTCGGGACGATGATGGGCAGCGACCGAAGGGCGCCGATGGAGCCGGCGACCATCAGGCAGCAGAAGAAAAGCTTGGACATGGCGACGGGAACTTGATAAGAGCGTCTTGTAGGATCGGGGGCTCTCCGCGATGGCCAGTGCCTTTTATCATTTAGGTGTCACCTCTTTATATACCGAGCAATGACGGCACACAAACCATCCAAAAAAAAAAAAAGGGAGACTGATGAGGGGATGGGCAGGAGTCCCATCCGCCCTGAATTCGGAATGAGGAGTCACTTTGCATTGATGTCATCCTTCAAGGTTCAGAGGCAATAAATTTACTGTCTCAAAGGCCTCCGCTCCAAACTGTTGCAGCAAATGTGGCATGGCCAATCTGCCGGAATGAAAGGGCTGCCTCTTCTTTTTTTTTTTTTCTAAACTTATAAATGATGGCTGGTGGAGGGGTCGTGTCGTGGTGGAGATGACCAGGGCAGCTCGACGCGTGATTTATGGCCCCTCTACCTGCTTTTGACGCACAACGTCGAGCTTTGAAAAGTGGATATTTTAGCGCGCTGGATGGATGATGTGTCAGCGGCGTTTGAGGGGCAGCTCCGCCGAGCCCTCTGGAAGATGAAACGTCTGTGGATTGCTTTTGGAGCCTCCGATGAGCACGCACACTGAAAAATTACTCTCTAATTGCAATCGGTTTGCTGTTTTGTATCGCGTTGTCAGGCACTCGGGTTAAAGTTGATATAAAGCCCAATCACTGAAATCTCATCGAAGATTTAATATGTTAATGGTGTTTCAGAAGTTATTTTTAATGTCTTTAAAATCTGCAGTTTTCATGAAAAGAACACATGCGATCCTGCCATGAAGGTCCTTGAGTGGGCATTTCCTGTTAAAGGAGAACTATGAGGTGAGTGCTTTTCACTCACATCATAGTTCTAGCCGACCTGTGACAATAAAAGCCATAACCCCATAGTTCTCCTTTAATTTGTAGCTGCTGCTCGCGGTATACTGCGGCGTCTCAGTATATCGCGAGCTGTAGCTCGCGGTATACTGAGCCTAGGGTGACGGGAGGACGCTAGTTTGTGTCCTCCCGTTACCCTAAGGAGAACTATGCGGAAAAGCCTTAACCCCATAGTTCTCCTTTAACGCTCCTCCAGTTGTGCTCCTGTGCTGTCATCCTGTTGCACACTCTCCCAGTGGTGCCTACAAGCAACATCTAACAGGTCATCTTTGCTGCCCTTTGTGCTGCATCATGTACATTTTGTCAGCCATTGCTGCCTGTTGGCAGACCCTTTCAAAATGAATGCACGCGGTAATACAACACAGCGGCCCACAAAGATCCTAAAGGGTAAGTTCTCGTTCCCTGAAATGTAAGAAAATTAGCTTACCGACACCACTCCGCCACCTCTCTTGGCCCCTATTGTGTATACCTTTGTTCTGCCCCTGCGTACACCATACACTGCACTTCAGCATTTGGCATAATGCTTACAACTGGTGAGTGCTCATTCGTCGGCACAGTCACATGAGCATGCTGACCCATGAAAAGCACTTCTGAGCTGGGGACCAAGTCCCAGAAGTACGACGTGTGTTGTCCAATGAGTGCTCGCTATTTTTGAGCATTATGCTGAATGCTCGTTGCGGGGCTGTACACCAGCTGGGGGGGCAGCGCAAAGGTATACACAGCAGGGGCAGAGAGAGGTGGTGCAGTGGTGTCAGTAAGTTCATTTTATTGTTACCGGTATTTATATAGCGCCAACAATTTACACAGTGCTTTACATAGTGCACATTCACATCACTCCCTGCCCTCAAGGAGCTTACAGTCTAAGGTCCCTATTTCATATGCATACATACAGGGCCAATTTATACAGGAGCCAATTAACCTTCCAGCATGTTTTTGGAGTGTGGGAGGAAACCCCGGAGTACCTGGAGGTTGTCATGTGGACCAGTATGATGGAAAATCTTCCATGCAAGGACAACCGTGGTCACTAGGGAGTGCATCCGAAGCTCGACTCCCCCCAAGAGGGCAGCGGGAGTGGTCTTCCAGAAGAGGTGACCCAGCCGTGGATCAATGTCCTAGTACTGTAAGTACAATGTGGCCTGCCTCTCCCTCATACGTGCTCGCGTGGAAGATTTTCCGTCATACTGGTCCACATTACAGCCTACTGGAATATTTTCCTGAAGAAGCCAGATTCTGGCGAAACGCGTAGACAAGTGTTAATATTACCATCATACATGAGTATTCTTTTGGACTGTATGATCATTGCATTTTCTTCACAAACGCCTTACCTTGTGGGTCATATTTGGACCGGCTATGTCATCCTGATTCAATTTTATTTTATCTGTCATATTTTTTTTTTAATATGAATATGAATTTTAATCAATTGTAATAAAGCTTTTTTAACATATTATATTGGCTTCTTCTATGCCTTCAAAGCCCCTTTTTGCTCTTCCTTTTCTGGCCGTGTTGCTAGAAGGATTTACCAGTTTGGATTCTACATATATGGGGTGTGGCATCGAAAGCCCGCCTCTCCTGAACACTTATTGATACCATCATCACATACAGTGCAGGGCCAGCAGTCCTAAATAGTGAGTGAGGACACCGAGGGCCGCCTACATTCTGGAGCGTTGGAGGGAAGAGGAGAGTTCCGGTTTCCGGGGGAGCGAGGGGTAAGGGAAGTATTATTGCTTTTTAAAGGTATCCTAGATATAAAAGAGCATTTAACCCTTGCAGTGCAAGGGGAGCCCCACTGGAAGGGTAAGCAAGCACCGGTTTCCGTGGGAGCGAGGGTAAGGGAAGTAAAACTGCTTTTTAAAGGTACCCTAGACACAAATAAGCACTTAACCCTTCCACTGGAAGGGTAAGCAAGCGCCGGTTTCCGGGAGAGCGAGGGGTAAGGGAAGTAAAACTGCTTTTAAAAGGTACCCTAGACGCAAATTACCATTTAACCCTTGCAGTACAAGGGGGAGCCCCACTGGAAGGGTAGGCAAGCGCCGGTTTCCGGGAGAGCAAGGGGTAAGGGAAGTAATACTGCGTTTTAAAGGTACCCTAGACACAAATGAGCATTTAACCCTTGCAGTACAAGGGGAGCCCCACTGGAAGGGTAAGCAAGCGCCGGTTTCCGGGAGAGCAAGGGGTAAGGGAAGTAATACTGATTTTTAAAGGCGCTGTAACTGCTACTTCATGATTTTTATTTTTTTAAGGTTTTCTATTAGGACATTGCACGCCCAAATTGCCGCTGTATTTGTACGCTGCCTTTCGGCTGTGTGCGCTATGTGACTTTTTAAGAAAATAAAAAATCATCATCCGTAAGGCCCATCTGCCAGAGCGAACAGGGACCATTCATCAACAACCTCTTGAAATGAGTCCGGTCCCATTGAAAGAAAATGGTTTCATTTTTGGCCATGTCAGGTGTGTCAATTTATCAAGGAGAGGGAGACAATTTGTAAAGGAGACTGTCATCCCCTGGAGACGGATGGACCGGGGACGTTTGCTGTGTTACAGCCAATTTGCAGCCTTTTGAATTAGGAGACGGGATTGCCCGGACATCGGGGTGTGTAGAGCTCAGATGCAGCCCCAGACGCTTTAAGAAGGGGTGGGGGGCAGCGGGGATTCCCTAGAAAGGGTAGAAATAATGGACTGGGGCTGTAGTATTGGACTTGCCGTTTTTGCCGTCAGTGTTTTCTTTGGTGTTGGGGTCTGTAGAGGGTTTTCTGTTTATTTCATTATTAATCTTCTTCTATCAAAAGTCCAATTAAACCTTCACTTTAAATTCCAAGTGCAAAGTCTAAATTCTAAACAGAAGGTGTGCAAAGTCTTGCTCTCTGTGTGGAAGCAGTGGTCTCTCTGCAGAGGTCTGACACAGTAGTCTCCTGCTAAGTCAAATCTATAGCTCCCCAGTCAGCAAAGCTCATGCTCGGCAGGCAGTGGGGAGCTTTCACTCTGACTCATCAGGGGATATGACATCAAATGAGCTTTAATGATGTAATTAAGCCGTGCCCCACCATCATTTTTAGTAATATGGATAAATGGGAAGACTGGGGGGGTGCTGGTGCAGGGTGTCTGATCTTGTCTCCGTCCCCTCCTGTAATAAAGACCGGTCACTGCTGCTCTCTCTCCTTGTGTAGGGTGACTAGTCTTGTCTCCACCCCCTTCTGTAATAAATTACCAGTCACTGCTGCTCCCTCTTCTTGTGCAGGGCTGCTGGTCTTGTCTCCGCCCCCTCCTGTAGTTTCCTGTATTGGGTGGGACCTGCTGTGTCCCTTGCACAGCTCTACTCTCTGCACAGGCTATGTACAGCATAGTGATGATGTCACTGCTACTTTTATATGGTGATAACCGGGTTTGTAAAGCCATTTGATGCACACAAAATGGATCTATAACCTTTGTGGCCATTGAGAAATATATTTAGATAAAAGTTTTTGTACTCGGGAGTTCAGCTTTAACACTACACTACCACGTGTATCCAAATCTGAATGACCCTGAGGAAGGTGTGCTGGGCTCTAGTGGGTCCTTGCACATGATATGGCCATTCTAGACATCACTGGCAATAAAATAATGGAGTATTGTCACTCTCTCTCCTCGTGTTGGTGATTAGATGATGGATTCTAGTCACTTTACTGTTGATTTCTGCTTCCATGACATACTGAATTGTTGCCCTTTAAATATCATACGATCTACATTGTAGCTTTTTCTGTGGCCTGCGTGTATTATGTAAGTGATGTTAGGAATACATTTTTTTTTATTGATCATGTTCTTATGTAAGATTGTATCACTGATGGCAAGCCGAACTCCCACCTGCATCGTAATTTTATTTTGCTCAGCGTTTTTAGCAGAGAAGAACCTCTTTTTTTTCCCGCCTCCCATGTGGTCTCTCCTTTACTAATGAAGCAGCAAACCTCTCTCGTGTTCCAGGTCAGTGCCCCCTTGGCGTGGAGACATGTTGCACTTGGCGCTACGGCCAAGATAAAGTGCTTGTACGTAGGCACTGGTATCTCCTCCATGATGGAAAACGTAATAGCCGTGTGTGTGGATCTCTTGTTCAGGTTAACTAGAGCCTGTCCCTCTACTGCTTGCTGAGAGCCCTGGACCCGAATCTCACAAGGG